ACAATGGGTTAAGATCAATACATATGTATAAAGAAAATGACGATATCTTTAAAATTAAAAATGATATAAAATATCAGAAATATAAAATTCTTAAAGAATAGGATCTTTGTTGTCAGCTTGCCGTTTGTATTTAGCTGTACTTCCAGCTGTTAATTTCAAATATTAATCTAAAGTCTGTCTACTATTAGACAGCTTAAATTATCTTTAATTGTTTTTATATCCTGCTTGTTAATAGTTTTATGCACTACTATCATTTTATTTGATATTTTAAATTGATTTAAAATTTAGCAGCTGATCTTTATATAGCAAATAGGTACTTTTTATGATACAGACACGGCATATTGTTTGCATGTGCCGTGATACCGATATAGTTTATACAAATTGGTAAGTAGAATTGGCAACAGTGTCCTAGAAAAGAATATGGGAATCTAAGATGGGAATATTGAAGGCTTTCAGAGGATTTTTAAGTCAGTTTCTTCAGTTGTTTCACATGGATATTACATACATCATTATTATTAGCTGTTTCGATTTTAATTTTCTGTTGGGTTTTGTTGGTTTACATTTAGTTAGTTCACGGTGTTCTTAGTATTGTTTTAGTTAATTCAGCTATTCAGTTTAAGTTTCTTGTTTTGATTTTATTTAAAATGCTTTTAAAAAAATGTGCATTCAATGGATGAGAAAACACTAAAACTGAAGAAGATACATTTTAGATTTTCTAGGACTAAATTATATCAAAACTGTGGTTTTTTTCCGAAAATACCTAGATTTTCTAATAGGAAAAAAAGCGAATAGACATACAGTTCGATCAAATAATCGACTTATTAACTACATAAACTTTGTAAAAATATTATACTTCTATGCCAGGTAGTAATAAATTTTCATACCAACTTTCACCCCTATATCATCCCCGAGATGAGGAATTTTCAAAAATTTCCATTAACATACAAACTGGATAAAATGTTCTCACATTGATGTCCTGAGCCTGAGAAAACAATATGGCGATATTATTATATAACTTGGTAATATTTGACGGGTAGTTTCATCTCATTGAATTTGACTTTCGAAAAATCTGTTTGTCAAAATAATAATTTTTTTTTACGTCAAGCAGTTAAGCAGAATCGTAGTTAATCAATTACCCAACTTTTTGAACACCCAGTATGATTTTTTAAAAAAATTCAAAATATGTAAAAACAAAATAAATTATGCGTGTCCAAGCGTTTTCCCCGAAAGACTAACCGTTTTTTAAATAACAAATATTGTAATATTTGAGGGGCATTTTCACCCTCTTGGAATCGAGAAACCCCTCCTTATAAAATCTCTACACCCCACAGTCAATCCGTTTGCCAAAAATCATCAGCTTTAAACGTCAAGCAGTTTAAGCAGAATCGTGATTACTCAATGGTCTTTATTTTATGAAACACCCGGTATAATTTTTTAAAAAATCTTAAAATATGTAAAACAACAAAATAAAATATACGTTTTTAAGAGCTTTTCCGAAAAACTCATCGGTTTTTAAATAAAAAATATTCTAATATTTGAGGGGTGGTTTCACCCCCTTAGAATTCGAGTTTCGAAAAATCCCTTCTTATCGAACCTCTACACCCTAAAGTCAATCCGTTTTCCAAAAATCAGCTTTTTACGTCAAGCGCTTTAAGCAGGATCGTGATTAATCAATGACCAGATCTTTCGAAACACCCTGTATACATTTTTAAAAAATCTTAAATTATGTAAAAAAACAAAATAACATATACGTGTTTAAGCGTTTTTTCCGAAACTTGACCGTTTTTTAAATAAAAAATATTGTAATATTTGAGGGATGGTTTCACCCCCTTGGAACTGGAATTTCGAAAAATTTCTTCTTTTCGAACCTCTACACCCTAGAATCAACCTGTATGCCAAAATTGAGCTTCTTACGTTGAGTGGTTTGAGCAGGATCGTGATTAATCAGTGAGTCAGTCACTTAAGAATTTTATATTATATTAGTAGGTATAGATTGTGAATGTATCAAAAATTGAAAAAAAACTAATGAAATTAAAATCATCTCTATTTGATTCCGAACTACAAAATTCCCTCTCTATTTTCTACACGAAGGAGGCGTGGCTTCTTAGTAAACGAATGGAGGTTACTTTGCTGGTCCGCTGTAAAATTCGCCTATATGACAAATCTAACGGAAAAATTTGCCTGGCGCATTCGCCAAAATGTAATTTTCACATTTGCATTGTTTGTCGCATCTGTTTAGGTTAGTCTGTGATACAAGGTATGATATTGCGCAGGTTGGTCGCTACGTCACAGGTGATAACAGGTGCTATTGGTCAGCACGCTCCGCGCGCCAGTTCAAATCGTCAAGATATTGTTATAAACCTGTTTTTTTTGTTTATATACCGTCATTGAATTATCGCTAAGCAAGTTACTGTGGAGCAGTGCATAAGGATTCGGGCTAGGAAGCGAGAGACCGGAGTTCGAATCTCGGCCGGAACATCACTTTTTATTTATTTTTTTAAATACTGTTGTATTCTATAGTTTATTTTTGTAGTATAAAAAAAAAGAAATATTTATTCTGTTATTTTTTAATCTCCGTTATTAATATAAATTGATTGTTAGTACAATACCTCATTTAATATAAAATAATATTCTACTTTTTGAAATGTATCGGGCCCTAATTGTATCTAAAAGTTGATACCTAAGTTGTATCTAAAAGTTGATACCATATGTGATATACCATATTGTAAATTATTTAATATTTCAGTCACTTAAAAAGTTAATTTGCATTGAATAATTGCCTACCATTAAAGGAAATTTGAGCTATATAACCCTTGATGGGCATATTCTGGGTATGCAAATACTTCCTTTAAATTTTGGGTGTCGTTCAACCGATTTATTCTCAAAACCAGAAACATCTACATATAAAAAAAAGCACAGGTCACTAATTATAATAAACTTCACCCTTGGTATTACTTCCACTATTTATAATAAACTTCACCCTTGGAATTACTTCTATCACAATTACAATACGTTCATCTGCATTGGCATTTTCTACTTTTCGATGGGAAACAATAAACTTCCCAACATTTTTTAAATGATGTAACAATTCCTCTTGTGGTTACTTTTCCATAGATATCCTCATCTCTGTCCTCATGTGAATTCAGAGGCAATAAAAATGAAAATTATTTACCATAAACATAGCAAACTAAAAACCTAATAAACAATTTTATACCGAATATAGAAATAAATTTAGTATTTTTACCTATTATCGTCCAAATCCATGTTAATAGATAATTATTATTTTCAAATATATTTTTGGAAGTGCTGGTTTTAGTAATTATTAAATTAAAGAACTAAAAAGTCTTAAAAATAAACAATTCTTAACCATAACCAGAGCCATAACCTCAAAAATGCAGATCTCCTGTCAACTTTCTTTATTTTTTATTTATTCCTCATTTTCCTAGTGACGTCACAGGTGGTATGCGCGAACTGAACGAAATTGGAGCCGCTATCGATCATACCTTGTATTCTTTGTACCATGAGAGCCTATCATCGAACAAATAACGCCAAGAGAAATACTTTTACTACCTTCAAGACCACAAAGAATATTTTCAAAATGTAAAACCGATCGATATTTGGAAATTCAAGAGCCCAGCCTAATCAAAATTTCTAAGGGCTGTGAGGTTATGATCAAATATACTACAATGATGTCGCAATACAAGACAGCAAGTCTTTAATACTACCACCAATCAGTTTTGATCAAGTAAAAAGAAGTAAATCCTTCGAGGCCTTCAACATCACGAAATTAAATTTTGACAAAATGTTCGAGCTAAGGCAAATGGTTAACCAACTGCATCCCTTAACCCCATCGACGAGAAGTTTCATGGACAATTCCACTGACATCATATTCATGGTTTTGTTCATCCTCATCACTCTGAGCCTACTCTTCATCACAAGAAAGAAGTTACTCTGCCCTATGCTGATAAGGAAGAAGATATGCCCATCCAAAGAAGAGATGCCCGAAGACCCACCACGAAAAGAAAACTCCGTTATCTTTTCGTCTTAAGGAGGGAGGAGTTACATGTGACCATTTCCGCCACACCTGCAACCGCACAGAAGATCTTCCCATGAGACCTGCTGATCATGCTTTTATTAATAAGTTTTCCTTTTAAGTTAATGTTCATTATTAATTCATTCTTTTGTCTGATTTCGTACGTACAACATTCACGCTGTATACTTTTAAATAAATAATTGTTTTTTAAAAACACTTTCCTTCCGTCGAACAACATAATTGTCACTTCTTGTTTCACCGAAAATTACTACAACTTTTGATTTTTAAATAGCACCTTCGGTATTTTTCTACTTCATTTGATAGTGACAATCTGAACAGAATGACATATAAAATGTCAACTTTTGAAATTGACAATTTAAAAAAATTGGATTTTAAATTATATTTATTTACCATAAATGTAACGACAATTTGACTCGAAATACCAAGTGTGTGGTACCAAATTATTCGTAAAAAATGCCTTTTCTAAATATGCTAAAGAGCCACCTCGCACGAAAAAATTGAGTTATTAATAAAAATGCGATTTGGGCATCTCTTAACCGCCCAGAACAAGACACGAAAAACATTAGACTATGAAATCTATTTTTGCATTAAAACTTGGTATTTTTTACACAGCCATGGTACTCTAGATTGAAATTTAAAATACGCTTTTTTTAAGCGAGAATGAAAAGTTGACATATGTGTCATTCTATTCAGAGTGGCATTTTCTATCGAATGAACTGAAAAAATACATAAGGTAGACATTTAAAAATCAAAAGTTCTAGCCGTTTCCCGTCAAACAGGAAGTGATGGAAAACAATTGAATACGCCAATCAATCCTGATTTATGTCACATACTAACGTACCAAAACCTCATTTATTTACCTGAAAAAATAACTAAAAAAAGTTATAAAGGTGAGTCACTTTTGAGAAATAAAAATTATGTGCAACACGATGTATAAAGTTAGTACCTGGATACTTCTGCAGTTCCTTTCTCCTAAAGTCGGTCATCTGAAATGCATGTTTAGTTAGTTGTTTCAATTATATATACATTTAATACATACACTGGAACCAAGTTTTTTTAATTTATTCATCAATGATAATGTACTCCAACCACTAGTTAAAAGAGCCTTCGGATCAAGTGGTAAACCAAACGTAACTGTCATCACACTAATCTCTGCCATATATTTCTGGCCTCTAAAATTCAGTTTATATTTTTCTTACTCTGTTAATTACAACTGTCACTCTTTCTAATAGGATTATAAAAAAAAACATTAGTTATCACTTTGGAAATCCTAAAATGTGATTGACACAACAAAACAATTGGAAGATTACGAATCGAGGAAAAAGTACATTAGAATTATAAGAAGAATTCTAATCATATTAGGTGACATTGAAAATACATGACACTGAAAATGACATTGAAAATGTCATACTTACGCGTCCATCTCATCTATCAGTCTATTGCTGGGATCAGTTTGTAAGTTGTAGCTCTTGCCGACATATATATCTAAAACAATAACGCGGTTTTGAGGAAATCGCTACACACAATTTGCCTGATCTTAAGTATAAATAAAGTACAGTGAAAAGTGCAATTATTGTAATCTCAAAATATTTTCCGATGCACAAATAGTAAATGACAAGAAGTAATACTTTTGTGACGTTTGAATAAAATTCTTTTGTTCTGAAGCAAGCGACTTGCGGAATATATTGATGACCGATGTGGAAAAATGACACGCGCCGTAGAATTGTTAATGTTTATCGGGCAGAATTTCGAAGATTTAGTCAATTATTGGAAATAAGTACCAATTATTTGGAAATCCAATTTAAACATGTTTTCTATTTAAAAGAAAAATCTGACTTAAATATTGTTTTTTTTAATTGGGGTTCTATATTATTAAGTTGTATATAAAAATCTTTTGACAAATAAGTCATTAATCATATCGACATTGACATTAAAGTCTATAAACCTGACTAAATGATTTTTTCGCCTTTTTTTTCTTTTTCATATACTTCATTTTACTTTATAGAGCAAAGGATTGTAACAGATATTTTATTTAGATTAAAGCTGCAAAAATTAGTTTAAACTGAGATTATCGCTATGTCGGTCACATAGCGCCGCACGCCGCGATCAGCTATGGTGTCCTTTATTTTACAATTATCCTAGTGTCAGTCATTACTTTGTATAATATCGTGTTGTTGAATCTTTGTGAGTAATTTTCGTTTTTTTGCCTATTTTCATAGTATTTTTTTTAAATTGCACTTTTAAGGACAAACAGTCCTTTTAAGAACAAAATTTCCGATTTTTTGTATTGCATTTCTTGAAATATATAAAATTATATGTTGAAAATATGTCGAAGCATTTAAAGAGTCGAAGGAAAGAGCTCGTAGCTTCCCTTTTTAAACTATTTTTAACGAGAACGTGACAATAAAGGTCCTTTATTACCATTGATTGCAGTGAAAAAAGTAAGTTTGATTGATAAGCACATTATACCACTTAGACGAGTAAAATCACTGAAAAAAGTCGCTTCCTTCTCGAAAAAAATTAAATATAAAAAAAAAAAAAAAAAAATTAGTTTTTAAAATAATTATTTAATTGTAAGTAGCCGATATCTTACGGTGTCGATTTTAATGACATCATTTTGGCAATATTTTTTTACATAAAAAATATAAAAACAAGTTCATCTCTGATTGAACTCTTTTATTAACTCACGATGTTCTTCTTCTTTAATAATAGGTGGCTTATCTACTATGGTGTTTTCTGATTTTGCTCTTCATACCACTTAGTGGCACTTAGCGTACCATAAAGATTAAACAAAATAGCCTCAAAAGAGCATCGGAACTAAAGTCCTCGAAAAATAGCCCTGGAATTATTTTATTTTCCATCCTTACATCATTTTACCAAGTATTTCGACGTAATTATACAGTTCTCCGCTAAAAACATTGGTTAAAAAGGCATATATTATAATTGTTAAATATGTAAAAAAAAAACAAAACAAAAAAAAAAAAAAAAAAAAAAAAAAAAAAAAAAAAAAAAAAAAATGCCAGATGTTTAGGGTTCACAAAATGTTATTCTATCCAGTATGGAAAGTTTCCATATTTGAGCAGGTCGTCCTTGCTTTCTTTTTCCTTGGGGATTCCACTCCAACGCTGATTTCGCTATATTACTATCAGGTTTATCATTAATATTATCAGATTATCATCAATATTATGGTCTATCTGATTTTCTGTTCGCATGTCTGGGGAAACCCAGGTTACTTTGTGAGCAGTTTTATGCGGGAAGATTGACCCGCCAATAACGAAATTGTTGTTTGAAAAGAAGTTAGAGAGTCGTTCGCCGTTGTCGTTCATCACTCCCAGTCCGTGTTTGCCCATTACTTCCTCTTAGCATTTTGTTGTTCTAAACGTATTTTTGCGTTCATATGCCCCAATTAATTGGAATGTCTTTCACTTGGCGAGAGTGTTTAAGTTTCTGTCTCAGTCAATGGCCATAAAAAATTTTGCTTGTCTTCAACTTGAGCAGGCTCTGTGGGAGCATAGCATTGGCTGAGATGTAATATTTTTGAACTTAGCCTTGAATCTTGCTGTTATTATTCTGTCTGAGAGATTAGAGCTTTTTTGCTGAATCACTAAGAAGAAATCCAACACCGCTTTCGAGTGCTTGTGCTTTGTCTCCTTCCGCTGTAGAGTAATAGTCCTTTTCTAGATGTTGATTGTTGACCCTGTCCGTTCCATCGCACCTTCCTGATAGCCCATCTACGACCTGAGTCGGCTCAGGTGCTTCATTTTCTTTTACTGCCTGAGCAAGTTTAGGATGTTTCGGTAGTGGCCAACTTCGAGTAGTTGACCGTCCTCCAAGTTCCCACAATCTTAATCGTTATTATAGCATAGCCCAGTTCGTAGCCAAGGTAAGTCATCGAGTTCCGTCCGGTTTGCTTTACTTCAGTGTTCATTAATTGATAGGTTTTAAGGAGCGGCAGGTAATTAGCCCACCGCCCCCGATCTTGATGACGGGGCTGCCGTCTAATGCCGTCAAGCCGGCTTCTTCTGCTCTCGTTAGCCCTGACCTTGCTTCCCACCGGGATTGGTTACCACGATCTTCTACAAGGTTGCTCAAGTTTCCGGGGTACACCAGCGGGGAGGTGAGAGTCGGAATTGAGTAGGAGAGGCTGATTGACGTAAACAGGATGCTACGTCATATGTTACGCATCTCTACCCCAAAAATAAATATACTTTCAATTAAAACGCATAAAAATTAAATTAACTTTAACATAGAATTAGAAATTAAAAAATAAAAAAAAAAAAAAAAAAAAAAAAAAAAAAAAAAAAAAAAATCATAATTATTTTAAAATAAGCAACCAAGAAAATAGCACAACATTTCAAAAATATCATTAAAAAAAAATAAAAGCGGGAAGAGATAAATAAAAAATGGTATAAAAAAAAAAAAAAAAAAAAAAAAAAAAAAAGTATTTTTCTTAATTAAAAATGTCGTTAATTTAGTTTTCATTTTTGGAATGATATTATAACAAAACGTTGTGGTATTTAGGATTCTGAATTCTGATGACTCGTGTACTTGGCAAGTACGCAAATATTTACGTACTTGGCAGGTATTCACTATCTTTGTAAAAACCATATTCTTGCACAAGCTTGGTGCTGACGCTACGCGGCGAGTGATAAATAATTGCGCAAAGAAATCACTCACACCCATGGCAAGTATATCCAAATAACAAATATATATTTCTCTAAAACGTTGAAAAGAAATGTAATAAAATAATAAAATTAAACTTTAATAAATAATAATAGAAATTACGATCTTTTATGGTCATAAACGGTTATAAACTTTAATAACTACATTCTATTTTTTTATTAATAATTCATCATTTTTTTTGATGTAATTTTTAAAAAAAAAAAAAAAAAAAAAAAAAAAAAAAAATAAATAAGAATAATTTAATATTTCTGGTTTATTATTGAGTAAATTATTTATTATAGACTATGGAATTTTAGCGGAACATATCAAATTTTATTAATTATCAATATCAATGAATTCATTCAAAAAAAAATAGGAATTAGGAAAATAGTTACAACATACGATACCTGTTGTTTGTCTAATGTAATTTGTGGATGTTTGTCCTTTCTTTCCTATTTTATAAATATCAAAACATTAATATATATATAATATCAAACCATTCTATTTAATATTTCTATTTGTTACTATTAATATTATTAATAATTGTAAATAATATATTAACAATTATTAACTTAATATATTAAGATTTGCAAAAAAGATGGATATTATCATCATTTTTTGGCTTTAAAAATTATACAGCAACATCATCTTGCCCTTTTCCGCAGTATGTGTATATTTAAGTTCTAGTATTGATTTAAAAAAAAACTATTCATTTATTGTTTATACGTTTTTTGCAAATTAAAGAGTCCATAACTAAATAATTTATAACGTCTACAGAATTTAAGTCTCCGTTGGATGGGTCTAGCAGCGACCGTACGCTCCGTCACACTCTACCTCAGATACACCCTTGTTTGGGAGTCGCAAAAAGCCCAATTCGGCTTTCCGGAACCCAGACCGGTCGACCCGATATACAACGGACCAGTGACTGATACGCCCGCGAAATAGTGACAGTCACCAACGATCTTAAGGCGGTACCTCGTGGTAAATTTCAAACTGCAGGTACAATGCACATAATCAGAAATAGGCTACGGAACTTCGCGTTCGCCTTGCCACCAAATAAAATCGAAGTCTCGGGGCGGCGAGGCCTGAGCGGTCTCGCGCGCGGTCTATTCGTAAATTTCATATTTTAGGATAACTAGCAAAACGTATTAGCAAATAGAGATTGTACCAATGTTAACTTTTCCAATATTTGTTACTCTTATATTTCATATGCAGATACTATGTAAAAATTCCTTCAATAAAAAAGTTTCTCGCTTACCGAAAAACACGATACAATAAAACACAATTTAAAAAAAAAAAAAAAAAAATTTTTTCCCAAAAAAACAATAACACTCAACTCATGGAACTTCTATTACTTCAGCAATCAACTCGCTATGTGTTCTCAGATCGACTTAAAAAAAGAGTTATGGAATACAACTTAGATTAGTTCTAGGAGTTATCGCGTAGGAAAGGAAAAAAACATGGTTATAAAATTTTTTGCACAGATTTTGAGACTTTCCGGGATTAAAAAAATCTCTTCTGACCCCCCCCCCCCGAAAACGAGTTCGCTCAATTAGTCATTTCACATGCATAAAGCCCTAACTGATAATCCTGTATAGATATCATGTAGTTATTCCTCCAAAAAAAAATTTTAACAATTTTTTTTTTATATCGTTTTTACTCCACTAACTTTCAAAGTTAGTTTTTAATAAATTCTGTGATTATTAGTTTGTGCATTGATAGCACCCTCTTAACTTGTTATTACCACTTATGGCATTATAAGATGTACATCAATAAATAAATAAAAAAAAAAAAAAAAAAAAAAAAAAAAAAAAAAAAAAAAAAA